TAATATATTCACGTAATTTGAACTTTGAATGACCCGAACCATCCAGTGTTCACGTAACACGTAACGAAGCAACAATATATTCACATACTTTGAACTCTGGATGACCCTAACCATGCGGCCTTCACGTAACACGTAACGAAGCAATAATATATTCACGTAATTTGAACTTTGAATGACCCGAAGCATCCAGTGTTCACGTAACAACAAGCAACAATATATTCACATACAAGTACTTTGAACTCTGGATGACCCTAACCATGCGGCGTTCACGTAACAAGTAACGAAGCAATAATATATTCACGTCACTTTGAACTTTTGATGACCCTAATTAAGTAACGTTCGCGTAACACGTAACGAAACAATAAGTTATTCTTGTTACGTTCCGGTAACACGTAACGAAAGAATAATTTATTCATTTACTTTGAACTCTGGATGACCATAATCGTGTAACGTTCACGTAGCACGTCGTAACTAAACAATAATTTTATTCACGTACTTTGAACTCTGGGTAGCACTAACCATGCAACCATGCAACGTCCACGTAACACGTTACAAGTAACACGTAACGAATTAATAGTATATTCACCTCGCTTTGAGTTTTAGATGAATCCCATGCAACGTTCTGTAAGGAAGCAATAATGTATTCACATAACTCCGGACTTTTGATGAACCCCTTTCCAAGGAATGTTCTCGTGCCAAAGCAATAATATATACACGTCACTTTGAACTTTGGATGAACTTCTGCAAGCAGCAGCGTTCACGCGATGTAACAATCACAAATATTCACGCCACTTTTAACTAAGACGTTTTTGTTTGAAGAAGTTTTGCCTCATACTTTCCAGTATGACCGTCAATATTAATGCAACGTTTTTCAACTTTTTAAAACTAATTTACAAATACATGATGTATTCACTACATTTGATATTTTATAGAGCATTTGACTATACACATGATATATATTTTTGTGTAAATTTTTCAATATCTATGAGCACAATTTAGTTTTTTTGAAATGTGTGTTTTTGCACTGAAAATAGACAAACGCGAACCACAGACCTTCTGAGACTGCGCAAATCATTTAGCTAAAACATGTTAAAATATTAGTGTTTGATAGCTCATCAAGGTTGTTTATTAACATGATCATAATGTAACTGCTAAACAAAACATGCATATTCAAGCTTGTTGACTTAAAAATAGCAATATTTTCCCATTTCTAATGTGATTCCATGTCATGTTTACTACTATTGTTGAGCTAGACAAATGTAAAAACAGCCGGAAACAGGAAATGTGAAAAAAAAAGCCTGGTTCTCATTCAGCAGTGGTCGCCACGACTGCGTGCATTCGATATGATAGTTGATACCATGTAGCGATAATATGTATGTTAAAAACACTGCAGTCTTTATTTTAGAACACACCCTGAACAACTATGCTGTCGGAATTTTGTCTACAGTCTTTGTTTTGCATTAATTAGGTCGGTATTCAAAAGGTTACTTGCATCACAACAGTCAAATAATCAAAAGGTGGTGGTCATGTTCGATATGACACTCATAGCGATGCACACAACGCATCTAAAATACTTGTTTACATGATATTCGAACACGCGATGCGCGGCGACCCTAGCCCTGCGTACAGAAATCACGCGACCGATAACTCTTCTTGAATTGAAACCTGCCAAGTACCTATAGCGCTATATAATATTTTATCGGATAAAATAAAGAATATAACTACTCAAATTTACCTCAATGATTCAGGACACAACTTCGATATAT